ATTTGCTTGATTTCTGTCACATAAATGACACTGATTGACAAACAAAACTAGAAAAACCAGCCTTCTCGCGCTGGTTAGTTTGGTGACAGTTATAATCGAATTTTTTAGGAACCGTGTTCAGTAGTAAGAAAACTTTCAGGAAACCGATAGAAACGGTACATAAAACCATAACGAAGGTAAGCAACGGAATACACCCTAAATTTATTTTTAAATTTAATCTGAACAGGTACCAATGCAAAACCAGGCAAATACGAACGTATTTAAAATTGCCAACCCATAATTTTGTCAATGTCAAATTGTAATTTCTAATCGTAGGCTTATTTGACAATGATTAAATCATAGGTTGACAACTTAAGGTATGTTGAAATTTGACTGGTTTTACATTGGAAATGGCAGTTAAAATCGACTTAAATTACGTAAAATCCGCTTGTTCAAAAGTGTTTAAATTTGACATATTTTGTATTTAGCATACGCAGACCTTAACAAAACTATTTACGATTTAGTTGTAAAATTAATAGGGAAGCCAATATTTAGACAGTACAAAATTTGCATGGGATTATCTATGCTACCAACGACACCACCCGGTATAATTAGTTAAATCTAGGTAAATTTTATACTTAATTGGTGTACTACTTATCAGTGAAAATTATTCCCTTATTTATCTGGATTTTCGATGGACGTCTTTTTCTGGATTTCGCAATGATGTAACTGTTAATTTAAGTTCTGACACAATGTTCTAGATTTTCTTCCTCGAAACAGAACAAATTGCAGAATAAATAATAAATAACATAATATAAGCTCAGAGTCTTCTGATGAGGTTAATATTTTTAAAATAACTATAAATTAAATCATTGAGATTTGTGCACATATAAATTATATCTTAAAACTCTTTCAATAATCTGGTTGTTTGAGAAACGCTGTGTTGGCTTCCTTTACGTTTTCGGTAATACATGATTAAGTTCTTGTGGTATTTGGTATCTAAGGCTTGGTTCTTATTATTAAAATTTTCCAAAACTTAACGGGTGTGCAGGTCAATAAGCGTGATAAGGTGTTGACTGGCGTAACGAATATTTTTGACTATATATTATAGACTAGAAAGTAATATGTCTAACTATAGTGTTACGGATAATTCGTCAAGTCACCGATTATGGAGAAAAATAATTAATAACTGTTATTATGTAGGTACAACTAATTTTATCAATTATGTTTTAATGATATCTAGGTTGGTTATAATATGTTCGCTATACGCGATATATTCTATAAAAGTATACAAGGTGTTGCATAAAAAATGAATCAATATTATATTAGTGTGGAACTCAAAACTTTTTGGGCTACTCTCACCAAAACTCTTAAAAATTGAAATATCTCTTAAGTGTACACAAGTAAAGAGTCACAATTTTCAACAAACACCAGTTTGTTCAAAATTTCCCGAATCTCTCAGAGTAGTATTCAGAGTCTCTCGTAGTATTCAGAGTAGTATCTAAGCTTGATTTGGCGATATTCATCATCATCATCATCATTATTTTCAGCTTATTCAGCCATTCCTCATATATTTAGATACTCTCTTTGTAGTTGGGCCAGTTGTTATCCATTGTTGGCTATGCAGGCCAAAGTTATCCCTGCTAATTTCCTAATATCATGGTCCCATCTCAGATTTGGTCTTCTTCTAGGTCTCTTAATTCCTCGTGGGTACTATGTTGTAATTTGTGTGGTCCATCTGTTGTCTGTCCTTCTTGCCAGGTGTCCTGCCCATTGCCACTTGAGGGATTTTATTTTGTGGAGAATATCTATTTCCTGGGTCTTTTGTCGTATCCATTTCGAAGTTTCCTTATAATGTCCGTTTAAGAGTTTACATTTCGCATGCTTAGGTTATGTCTGGTAGTACACATTGGTCGAATGTTTTCTTCTTTATATAGAATGGTATTCTAGACTTAAATATGATTGAGTTTCTTTCATTAGTCGATATTAAATATAATTAACATGTATACTTTGTTTTTTATTAGGACCGAAACAGAAGTCCTTTGTTTTAAATTAGGTCGACGTTTAGCACAATTTATTTGTATCTTCAGGATACTACAAAGTTGAGAGAGAGAGAGAGAATAGGGTTGCCACCTTTTGGCAAAGTAAAAAAAGGACATTGGACTATGAAAAAGGACCGGGGAGAAAAACTCCCCTTTTTAAGACCACAATGGTTAAAAATAAAACTTAAACTATAATTTGAGATTAAACGGGTATATGCTTTATCTATTAGGAGTAAAAATGATACTTTTGGTGGCGAGGCTGTACGTTTGACGACATTACAGGCGAGGCAAAAAAGTAATTTTTACCCTGAAGAAGACATGATATTTTTTTCAAACGTCCACAAATAATTTTTTAAACAATTTCAAACGTAGCAAATAATATAAAAATATTTAAAGGTAATACCCTGTAAGAGGAGCCTGTAAGTAATTATATATCATGAAATTATAGTTACCGTTTGGTTACAGTCGTTGAATTTGATACTTTATATACACTTTATAGCAAAAATATAATATTTTTGTGACGTTTGAAAAAAAAACGATTATTTATAAATTTTATCACATATCTAATAAAATTTGGACGAAAGGAATATTACTGCTGTAGATAATTTTCTCAGAGGAAATAAAAAGGACTTTTTGGGTCAAAAAAAGTCAAAAGGACAATTTGTTCCAAAAAAGACTGTATTTTTCAAAAAAGGACAGGTGGCAACCCTAAGAGAGAGTAAAATACAAGCAAAAAATTAGGAAAAAAATAAAAACAACCCAAAAAACACATTTCAGTGGAATTCCACACATATACAATTGGTGAAACTCACCTAATGTTAACAATTAAATAAAATATATGTATATGTTACCAATATTTAAATCTGAATTTTCTCAGCCATTTCCATTAATATACTGGTATACCATTAATATACGGATGGTATAGAGGGGAGTGGTGGATATACTTTTATTATTTAACACATAACACACCCGTACATTTAAAAAAAAAAACAACACCCATATACAAAAATATCAAAAAATCTTCCAAAAAGAAAAAATCGATGCAGCAATCGATTTACCAATACAACCGTATTCAGAGAGCAACTACTTCTAGCTGATAAAATACTAAGATAATTTTTACATGGAGATAAAGAATAGTTGAATAGTTATTTTTTATACAAGATGATAAAATTGAGTATTTTATCATGGACCGAAAAGATTAAGTCACAAGCGATGAAATCGCGAGTGAATTAATTTCGGGAGACGATAATGCAATTTTATCGTCGTGTATAAAACATTTTTTTTCATAGCGAGTTACGTTATAAAAAATATTCAGAAATTATTATTTCAAGGAATTTATTCGAGTAGAGAAAATATTGTGCTGGGTTGGCGTTGGTTTCTATGTAATTTGACAAATAAATAAAGCTGTCTCTTTAGTTGTCAGTTTTGAGTCGATATTTTTTAATTCTCTTTCGTGTCGATTGCTGATTGAATGGGAGCCAGAAATGGCTCAAAACGAAATAAGTAAATTACCAACAGATATTCAAGCCGAGGCGACAAACACCATATCCAAACTACTTCCATTTAAATCCCGAATAACTTATGAAAAGGAATACAAAAAATTTCAAAAATGGAAGTAATTAAAAAACGTGCGAGAAGAAATAAAGTTTTTAACCTATCCTCGCTGTTAAAGTTAAATGATACTTTTTTTTACTACTATATTATACTACATTTTTTAACCTTTTTTTCGCCACATTTTTTAACCTAAACAAACCAATCTACCCTTGTGGTTAAAGTACTGTATGATCGAATAAAAACGGCGTCCAGTTGGCTTGGAAATGACGATCGATGGCCTTTCCTATATAAATTTACATATAAAATGACAGCGATCTTCATTTCATAGCCATCGCTGACGCCGTTATCTACTATTATTTGGATTTAAACCATTATTTTGAAGTTATATTATTTAATTTTTGAAAGAATATTAAAATATTCTGTACTCAGGTCTTCTACGTTTGTTCTTTTATTAACGCAATTTTTTTTTGGATTTCGATCACCTCTGCAATTAGGCTTTTTTAATAATTTGATTGTGTTTGTAAAATAGTGGTGTTGTCAAAATCAAAGTTATGACTTGTTTCTAATTTGTGTTCTACTAATGCGGTAGGATTAGATTTTAAAATAATAATTAAAATGTTTGATCTTGGAGTCTTGATCTTGAATTTCAGCTATTACGTTCACTTGTGTTGATCCACTCTGGACTGGTTGATCTTTGAGAAGCAGTTGATAATTCTTCACTGTCTCACCCAAGATTTACAACATATTCCTAACCATAAAGACTAGGTTTTTGTTGCTAACTGTGCTTTTTTCCTGTAGCTCATTATTTTTTTGTGGAATCAGGTTGTAAACATTACTTCCTGATACCTCTACATCTACAACTTGATCACTTGAACACATTATTATTATCGTTGAATGCTAAGGATCTGGGTGTTCTCGTTGATCGTTCAGAAATACTTCTCTTTGCAAGTGATGCACACTTAACTTTACACTTTTCGAAGGTAATATATTCCCATGAATGGGTATGTATTACCCATTCATAGGTAATACATACCCATGAATGAGAATGTATTACACAAGTTACACAAGCTGGCTGTAGTACTAATCTTATCAAATTCGGCATTTGACAGTCCAGTGAAGTGCCCTTAAGTGAAGTTCCCTTATGAATCAATTTGCAACATCCACTACATTCTATTGTATGCCGACTTCCTTTGACAGCTGGCTCACAAACGAAATATTTCCCATTATTTTCCATCTTAAATGAGCATCTGTTTTATTTAAATAAAAACAATCAAAAGAAAAATGAATAGAGACGATAACTAATAGTATTCACCTACCTAATTCAGCAAAGTGTTCGCCATTATAATAATACATTGAACGAGCTCTTTCAAATACATACAATTATTTAGATTTGAAATTTACTAATGCTCTTTATTGTTATTATAGGTTAAGGTTGCTTTTGCTACCGTCCATATGGATTTTTCTGTCTCCTACTCTTGGGGAAGATGAGTTTGCGTTACCGCCATCATTTGCACAAGGAGAAAGTCCTGGAGGTAAGTGAAAATAAACTATATACTAATTGAAGGCAAATAAGTTAGAAGTTTGTTGAAATTTATATCCCAATGTACAGGTTTTTTGGTAGTAATATACTCTCTGATGGATCTCCATTAAATTATGTTACGGTAATGAATCCGGACCAAAAATGACCTTTTAGGACCAAATATGGTCTTAGTATAGAACCATTAATTTTATTTAATATAATATTACATTACTCGTCTGAGAGTAAAAAAGTAAAGTATTTTAAGTTAAAGTCTCCTTTTTGCTGCTAAGGCTAATCTGGACGGGGCCTACTTTGTTTACGCGTAATCCGAACCACGGTCCTCGGCCATATCATGGTCAATGTCATACCGACTTGCGAGTGTTTAAATCGACTCTTACTCACGATATATTAGATATTCTGGAACCGGCGTGAATGATTTATTTTGTTTATAGATGATACACTCTTTCCATTGAACAACAACACGAAAGAGTTTTAAGACGGTCACCCATCCATCTTCTCGCATATTCTTATGTCGCGTAACTTCGGTGATCTATCAGGGACCAGTGTTTCGCCGTCGTTGGGCCGTTGCTCCCTTATAAAAGTGTTTTATTATTGTGGAGAGATTAAATAAATCTTGAGATAATCGCAATAGAGTCACTGTTAATTTAAGTTCTGCCACAATTTCCTTCTCGATTTACTACCTTTAGACAACTACCAGTAGTAGAATAAATAGCAAATAACATAAAATAAGCTCAGTAAAGACCGACAAATCCACAAAATTTCAACTCAAATTCAAATGTCAAATGAATTGTAAAACAGAACGGTCAAACAGAACTGTCAACGAACCCTACGGCCCCTTGTCCGTCTACCATACATGAGTACATGGATAGCATTATACTCCTTCCTTAATCTTTTTTATTCAAAGTATTGTGGTTTTCTTTGTTACATAAATTCAGTGGAATGAACGAAACATTCAAAACTGACAGACGTTACTTCGTCAAAACAAATAAATGTCTTAACACTGTTTAAAAATGAAGTGAAAAAGTAAAACCTGTTGCAATAATGAACAACTCTATACAGATAGAAACAGAATTATAATAATTACAATCCAACCACAGTTTCTATCTAATTGCCATCGTAAAACATTCAGATAATGATTTTTTGCGGGTCGAGCTTAGTATCTATATCTTTCTCTCTTGTCATTTTTGGTGGCTGCTCTAAGAAGATTCTAGAAGCACCAAGGGCATATAAAGATTGACAAGTTTGCAAAGAACGCAATTTGCGGCTAATATTAATACCTGAGTCCATAGTGCCTAATACCTTAAGGCAAAAATTGAATCAAAAAAAGCTGAAGAGGATGTCGATGTCCTTATTGAGAGAAGCACACCTTAGCTCCATTAAATAATTACGTTACAATAAGAGGGAGATATTGAACTTTTGGTAATTTTAATAGGCCCAGTGTAGACCTGATATAAAGAATGCGTTCTTTATAAAACGAATACAAAAGACAGTTGTCTCAAACACGCTGATACATTTTTTTACTAATTCAAAAAACTTTTCTATAGGAGACAGACTAAAACTAATATAGGTGTCTGGAGCTCAATTTTTATCTAAAACATGATGGTGAAAACCGCACACCGATATCTGTTACTGTTTCAGAGTTACGGGGTATTTACCAAAAATATAAATTTTTAACAAATCGCTATGTAACTTTTTTGCTATGGAAAATTTTGTATTACAACCTTTCCTAATCACTTTTTTACGCAGAATTTAATGGTTTAATTATACATTTTTTTAAATTAACAATTTAAGTGTCATCTACAGAAAAATTGATTTTTTATTTGCGAGAGAGATACCTTGTATATTTTTAATTAACTGAAAAGGACTTAAAATTACCTTTCCAAAAATATAGCATACTGAATATTTTGTTATAGTCCTTTTCGAAATAGAGAATTTTTATTCGCCACTTTTAACTAGGAGGCTTTGGACACCTTAGTGATGATCTGTGCCTAATGGAACTCGAATACATATTTTTCCAGCAAGACGAGGCACCGCACAGTGCTTCGAACATATGGCTCTAGAGGACAAAAATGGAAAACTTCTCTTTTATTGTAGGCAATTTATTCAAACTAGGTTTATTTGAACACAAATGATGAGTACTCTCATTGTACTAAATGATGATGTTCTTAGTCCCACGTTTATGAAAAAAAATCTTATACATAATAAAAATGTTGGAGCTGTGTTCCATCGAAGGAAATAATAATTTATAGTATGAAAACGGTGTAAGTATTAAATACATCCCTGTGATAAAAAAGAATTCAAATAACATTAGAACATGATTCCACAATATAAGCCTAATATAAGATAAAAATATTTTTCTTTAATGAAAAAGAAACATTAATGCTATATTTAATTAAAAAAAAATTAAGATAATATAAATTTACTTTAGGACAACAAAATACATAAATCGAAACTACTCTGATTCAGAAGAATCACTGCTGACAGAATCTTCCAAATTTATAGTATCCAAATCACAGGTAGATGAAATATCCTCACATATAAGATATTTCTGTACATCATTTTCTAATATGTTACTTTTTCGCGTTGTTACTGTTCTTTTTGTTGGTATGAGGGGTTTGGATGTTAATAGTTACCTCTTTAATAGACCATATCCATATATTATTTTTTCCTTTTCTTGGGTATGAGGTTTTATAATAAATTGAAAGATGGAAACTTTTTTTATGCGACGTTTCTCGCTCCAACATAGTTGGCTTTTCCAGGCACAAGTGGTATCTCATTTAACTGGAAGGTTCATCAATATCTAATAAAGAACACATTTGTTGATATACAAATAATTTTGAGTTCTTGTCCTTATGATCAAGCCAAGTATAAATAAGATCGGCATTGCTTATCAATTTTACTCCATCTGAAAAGTATTATAAAATAAAGTTCGTCGCAAGCAGACGCAGGTGAACTATACAAAAATTAAAAGTGTATGAATATGACAACAAAAATATTCAATAAATACGATATGTTTTGATATGTTTTTTTAATGCCTTTTTGAAGTTTGAAATCGTAAAATTTTTATACCCATTTAAGAATCATCTTAAAAAATAAATAAAAAATAAACAATCACGAACTTGTTTAGAAATAAATTTAAAGTACATACCTTGTTTAACAATATCCATAGTGGCTTTCAATTAAGTACGTACCGTTTAACTCCATATACAGAACTACTATGAATGTTATTCTTTTCACTGATATAAGATAATGATCGCAAAATTTATTTTTAGTGAAAATTTTGCTAACAAAAAACGCTGTTTATGAAAAATAATATACAGGATGGTTGAACATTGCTATAAGTATAAAATTACATATTCAGATATTAGTAAATTTTAACTTTTTTTTCGATTTTTGTCCATGGGACGAAGCACTGTGCACCGTCTCAGAATGCTGAAGTTATCAGAAAAGTTTTGCATTCAATTTCGAGAATAATATACCAAGATCCCAGCCGTTGGCCGTCGAGGCGCCCGGACTTAGCGCCTATGGATTTTTATCTTTGAGGAAGAATAAAGATTTTTATTTTTAAGCTACCCGTATCTAGACAAGAATTAGAGGTACTTAGCCGTTATGTGAGGTCATCTTTCATCCCCAGTCGTTGGGGTCGACATAAAAAATGTAGGCATAATCTCATGTCTTGATTTGCTATTTATTTTTATTGTTATTTTTTTGAAGATTGTTTCTTGTGATTATGGTCCGTAATAAAATGTTTTTTTTTTTTATCAAACACATTATCATAGTCAACGTTTCGATCTTTATTAGATCTTTATCAGAACCTTTTTATTATAACCTTGGACGTCACAAAAACAAAATTGTAAATTTACATTTTAACACCGCTAATAGTCAGATTACTACATTTAATAATGTGTTCTTTTTATATAAATTGGATTAGGATCGAAAGAAATCAACAGAAGTCCTTTGTTTTAAATTTGTCGACGTTTCGCAAAATTTATTTGCATCTTCAGGACACTACAAAGTTAAGAGAGCAGAAAATACAATCAAATAAAAGTTTTTTTTTTTTTCAAAAATTTAACAAACCACCCAAAACACATATCAGTGGAATTCCACATATATACAATTGGTAAAACTACCCTAATGTTAACAATTAAATAAAATATATGTATTGTTAACATTAGGGTAGTTTTACCAATTGTATATATGTGGGATTCCACTGATATGTGTTTTGGGTGGTTTGTTAAATTTTTGAAAAAAAAAAACTTTTATTTGATTGTATTTTCTGCTCTCTTAACTTTGTAGTGTCCTGAAGATGCAAATAAATTTTGCGAAACGTCGACAAATTTAAAACAAAGGACTTCTGTTGATTTCTTTTGATCCTAATCCAATTTATAAAAAAAGAACACATTATATATTATTGGATCGACAACAATAAAAATTATAACTACATTTAATATCAAACAAACATATAGACAGAACACCTATAACTTTTTATTGTTATTAGATACAGTTTAAATGTGTTGATGTTGTTAAATATATTTGAAATTGTCATAAAATTCTGTATCTCTCATTGCAAATATTATTTTCGTTTTAATTGCTGTTCACAGCTAGAATTTTTTTCCATTACACAGCTGGCGCCGTTCAAAACCTACTTATTCAAAGTGGGCGAATTTTTAAAAATTCTATATCTCGAAGAGGAATCGAGCAAAATGTCAAATACTATACTTTTGGAAAGGTAATTTTAAATTATTTTCAATTAATTAAAAACATACAGGGCGTCCCATATAAACAAACAAATTTTCTGTTGATAATTTTTGAATTATTAATTTAAAAAACTATACTTAAACCATTAAATTCTACGCAAAAAGGTGCTTTGGAAATGTTTTCATAAAAACAATTTTTTTCATAGCAAAAAGTTATAGCGATTTGTTAATAATGCACATTTTTGAAAAACACTCCGTAACTCCTAAACGGTAACAGATATCGATGTGCGGGTTT